TTTAATACCTCAAAAACAAGAGGTATTGTTTTCTCAAGGCCACACAACACAGAGTTATATTGAAGGACACTGTGTATCAAGATGGAAGGGAGGTCTGTTAAAATCATTAGAGCTCAAATTTCTGGGCATAATTTTGGACAAACGACTTACCTGGCAGACACATATTAAGCATGTTACAGATAGAACAAATGTTATCTTCAACAGTCTATAAAGAGCTGCCAAGAATAAGTGGGGTCTGGATTTTGATGCTCTCAATCCTATTTACAATTGTGTGTTCACACCAATAATCACTTATGCATGTACCGTTTCAAGTGGGGCCTGCAACCACTCAAAATGGCACAGAGAGTTTGAGATCGATATTGGAGGCTTCTTCTTTCCTATGGGAATGTACGAGGTTAACAGGAAAGTAGACAAACTTCCGCACCCTGCTCACAGGAGGGGGCTATATGCAAGACAGGATTATTTGATAGACATGGAAGTTTTCACTGATGGATTGAGGACTCGTAATAGCACTGGTTGTGCCTTTTCTGTGTTTTCAGGAGAAAAAGAAATTTTTTTGACACGTGTTCTTCACCTGGAGTGCTCAGTCTTTCTGGCTGAGGTTGTTGCCATTCTTTTGCCAGTTCATTGGTTTGAGGAGAACCTTGTTGGAAGGGCGATTAACATCATCATTGACAGCTCTGCGGCTTTGCATGCCCTGAAAAATATGGACAGTTTTCATCCACTGTGCAGGGACATTCTCAACATCATCTCAACTAGTTCCAACAATTTTTCTATTGAGTGGACCAAGGGGCACTGTGGTACTCCAGGGAACAAAAGAGCTGACCAGCTGGCGTGGGCTGCCGCCGACTGTCATGACAACTTCCCTGACTACTGTATTCTTCCAGCCTCGAGACTTAATCTTCTCCTTCGCAAGGAAATGGTTGAGATTTGGCAGCACAAGTGGGATTCTATTCCCTCAGATCACATCTCCAGGAGCTTCCTCCCAAGCATCGAGCAACATCTTCACAGTTGGTGGTTTAGTCCAAACTTTCAGGTGATTCAGTTTCTCATGAAACATGGTCAGTTCAACACGTATCTCTGTCAATTCCATGAGTCATGTTCAAAGCTGTGCAGTTATTGTGGGGAAGAGGACGGGTACTATATCTACGCCTTCCCAATGATTCATGACATAAGGCAACTTGTAAAACTTAATTTGCATGCTAAAAATGTGAATTAGCCCTATGATCTGAGTCTCTTTCTTGAGAACAAAGACAACTACCTCCTACTGAAAGATCTTATCAAGCGGTATTTTGAAAGGACTTGCATCTGGTAACTAGCTTTTTGTGCCACAATGTTGTAATATGTGTCTGGTGATTGTTCTGTCCTTCTGTTCACGTACAATATACCAACTGTCAAATTTGCTACACCTGTTGGGTCATAACTTAACATGGTTTATGACCCAGGTTCTGTAAGTCGTGTGTTTGCCACAAGAACATGGCATTATACCTGACTGTTTCTATCTTAATTTCGGAATCTTGCCATTTATAAGCCAAAAGGTCACTCTGTACTTTACCGGACTGTGCCTCGCAGTGTCGGTAAAGTACGAATATTTTTAAACCTATTCAAACGCAAACCATTAAATATCTAGNTATGCAATGACAGGGATCCTTTTTCTGTGCTAGAGCGGTCTGGTGTGTATTCCATCCCATTGGAAAATACAACATCTGATACTCATACCCAGTATATCGGAGCGACATCCAGAATGTTGTCTTGCCGCATCTCTGAACACAAACAATCTATTAGTACGGGTAGGTGCGACATACCGAGTTGGCAAGATTGGTGTTGCAACACCAATACATTCCGATGTGGGACCAAGCAGGGATACTCAAACAGTGTGATAGCAGGAACCTCTTGTATATATGGGAGCCGCTATTTACCAGTGTGCTAAATCCATGCAACACCCCCACGCTGGATGTGCCTTCATTGTGGGTCAACTTATACAACAGATTAAAACAACGTCGCTAGCTCCGCATTCTCGCAAAATATTCTAATGCTCATGCGCGTCAGCATCGAGCGCGCATCTTTCAAATTCTCTGTTTTTGTTCTATTTTGATTTTATTCCAATGCTGGTTTGCCTTGCTGTAATTTGAATTTGAAGGTTATTAACTGTTCTTTCAACCTGAAGACGAAAATGGTGTCGTTGAAAGCGCTAGTTGTTTGTAGTGATAGCTGTAGGTTGTTAATGCCTAGATGATAATTCTCTCAACTTTACTTATCCAATATTCGGCGTGAAGTCCAATATTAATTTTCACTTTTCTTAATTCAACATTATACTGCTGGATTTTCTGGTTTGATGAATGTTTTTGATATAAGATGTAACAGCACACAGTGGAAGTTGGTTGCAAGGTTCTAAAAGGTTATAGAGTTCAATTGGGTTTTATTTAGCTGCACCTAATGTAATCTAGTTTTATATCAAATAAACAGCCATACTTATATTTTTAACCGAAGCAAGAATTTGGAAAATATAGTTATTCAATTATAAATTATTTCATTTCTGATTTTTTTAAACTGTTAAATAAAAATGAACTTACACATAATAAAAGATAAGATTTTTCTAAAAGATTAAACTGTTGATCAATTTTGGAAACACTACCAAGCATTCAACAAAGACTCTGAGCATCACAAAATGGCAGAGTAACTGTACATTCAAACATTACATTATCAAGTTCTACTTGGAGAAAGCTAACAGAGACAAATTGTCTACAGCTTGTTACTTCATCAAAGAAGTAACATAAAAAGTTTATTGTATTATTAAAAGTATGAGGAAACAGCAAGTGATGAAAGACAGTCAAGAAGTGCTGATCACAATGCTGTTTTCATCAAAGAAAGTTGAATTCTTTTTGAGAAAGCAACAGTTCACAAATAATTGCACTTCATTGAGATATTTAGCATCCAAATTCAATTCTGTACCATCAACTGTTCTTTATGCTTTGAACACAAGCAAAGATCTAGAATATCAGGTCCAAGTCAGTTCTGGTCACAGCCATCTGTTTTAGGCAAACTGTCATTCTTAATGATGAAGCTAATCATTAAGCAAAAAAAAAAAAAAAAAGAAAAAGAAAAAAATGCATTCAGAAACATTATTGTACCTCAAATGTTAGTGACACTCAGGGCCGCCGTAAGCGGGCGTGCAAGGCGTGCACCGCACGCAGGCAGCACGTCCAGGGGGCGGCAAAGAGCCTTTCTGGCAAGATCAGCATAGGTAATCGTAGTTAAATAGGAAGCGGCATAATCGGTATTGCACACGGGCGTTCAAACAGCTAGCGGCGCCCCTGGTGACACTCCTGCAGTTATGAAATATATCTACTCAAATTGAAATATTTCCAGTTAAGATTATGATTTGAGTCACAGGTTTCATTAAAGGCTTGTCAAAACCTTGTTTGTGAGAAAAATTAACACTGATATATATATATATTGAACAATGTTTGAAGAAACAATTGTTATATTTCATAGCACAGAACCATAGGGAAGATAACTATGTATTTTGGCCAACAAAGAAAGCTATTGCATTTTTGCAAGAGAACTTCATATCCTTTGTCTCCAAATGTTTTTCATTGTTGGTCAATTACAGATTTTTTGAGCTATTTTAGTCTGTGCTGTTTATAAGAATGGATAGAGAGCTACATTCAAGCAATTAGTCTGTAGGATCAAGCACTGCTTGAGAATCATGAACAATGGAATCATCAATCATACATATGGAAGTAAAAAGATAAGGGTTGAAGAAAAAAGATCCAACCCTTCAAGATCTATAAAATATATGGAAGTAAAAGATAACTAGACAAAGTAGCCCATATGCTGCAGTTCATTAATCGTTTGTGTTAAAGACATTTAATAGAATGTCTATGTAAGAATTAAGTTTCAATTAAATTATTCCTGATTTTTATGAGGACAATAGTGTAACAATTTTTCTCAAAAACTCATTATACTTTCACCAAAAATGTGAAATTATGAATTTAACAAACATACAGGCAGCCTTCAACTTTTGCACATAATTGGTTCCTGAAAGTGTATGTGAATGTTGAATGTTCGAAAGTAGAGGAATGTAAAAAAATATGCACCAAAAACTGTGTTTTAAAGTATTTATTTATCAATATGCATACATAATGAAGTTAATGAGGTATGTTTAAGTGCTTTTGGGTGTTTTCTTTATAAGCTTGTCAAGAGTTAGTTGAATAATACCTTTGCTTTCTTTTCTTGAAAAAAATTTCTAAACATGGAAACAATCTTTGAAGATATATTTCCACAATTTTGAGCGTATTCCTTAATTTTACCCTTATTTTTCAAAACTGAACATATCGTAGATCTGTTTACATCATACATACAAACATCTGATTGAAGTAAAAGATTCACTGTTTTCAGAACGTTTAATTATTTCCATCTTTGTCTTGATCGTATGAAATTTATGAATCCTTAATTTCTTTTTGTTCATATCAACACTGCAGTTTCCCAGTTTCTCACTCATGTTTATCAATTTATAAGGACAAAATATTTAAACATAAACAAATAAAATGGCAAAACACATAACACGTTGTCCACGCCTTAATGCAAGACAAACTGTTTTGACCTCTTGCTTGGAACAACACAATAGTGATTATGATTCTGAGAATTCCACTATTGTAGGAAGTAATGTGTGTCCGAGAACGTAGACTAAGCTACCACACTTTGTAGTGTATGAGCGTTCTGCATGGAAGCAAATTTTTTCATTATCGACAAAAATATTTAAAAAGTTAAATTTTTAAAAATGTGTGAAATAGCGAATTGTGCAAAAGTAGAATGTGTGAAAGTTGAGGACTCCTGTATTTCTGCACAATTCTATATTTAAACAGAGATAAATTAAATATTTTTATCTATAACCATTTCACACATGAATGTATTTAAATACTGTACTCTTAAAGTAATTATTTTATAACAATTAGTAAAGAACAATTTTGCAATTTTATACTCCAACAACCACTTACCAGTGATGAAATGAGAGTTTAGCTGGTTGGATGAAGTTGGAATAATAGAAGCAGCAGCAACCATATGATGAGAATGTGAATCTTGATTATCTGTATAATCTTTTAAACTTTCTTTTCTTCTTCTTTTTCTTGAACGTCTTTTATTTTTTGCTCGCCTTTTATGTGATCGTTTTGTTTCTTCATGTCTTACTGATGATTTTTCTGAGGACAAAAAAAGTATTTTCCCCCCCTTTTTTAAATCTCTTTTGATAATAGTTTCAAAATAACATTATACATTTTATTATTATTAAGGATGTAGTGTTCTTAGCATTCAGTATCCATTTTTGCATTTTTGAAAATTTTTAATATTTAAGAACTTTTTATAACCATCAATTTTTCTCTTTTGATTTCTGAATCTCAATGCTTCAATTTAATAAAATATTTTTAAGTGAAATTTCTTTTTTATATGATTCAATAGTTTTAAACATTTAAAACAAAACTGGCTTAAATTTTATAAGAAAGGAACATAATTAAATCTTTTAAAATATAAAATCTGTATTTTAAATATTTTTATTTATAGTATAATAAATTTTTGTAATACAATATAATATTTTCAATAGCTATGATAATTACATTATTACCTGTATTATGAGAGACATTTTAACAAACAAATATATTATTTAAATCCAGCATAACTGGAATAAATGGCACTGCTTAACTGTTTTATTTACATCTATTATATATTCAACTGATGTAATCTGGAGATGACTGTAAATTAGTAAGAATAGATCCAGATTATTTTGATGATTGTTAATTGCGGTTGAATTCAAAATTTATGAACCTTGTATAATTTTGTATTTATTATGGAAGATATAAAATCATATTTAATAAAAAAATATATTTGCATGATTCTGTATTTTTTCCATGATGTCAATTCATGCATGATTCCATTTCATGACATTTTATTTATCGATTCATTCCTTGTATTCTGAATCCAGGTAAAATATATTTAATTTGATCCAAAAAGGCAGTGTCTTTCATGCATTACAGTATTGGTATAATGAAATTACCCTAGTAAAAGATTCTATAAAAAATGTAAAGGAGCTATAAGACACTCCTAATTTTACCTCACTTGATAATTAGAATTCAATGCAATGGTGTAAGCTGATTCACAATTCTACATATCTTCATGGTAAGATAATTAATACATATTATCAGATCACTTCTAATATTAAACTTCTATCATATCATTGTTCATCTAATCATTAATAATCTAATATCATTGTTTATGTTCTTACAACCAATGTTTCCTCTAATTTTTTGTATAGCTACATAGTGCCAAAATGCACCTGAGCAAAACATTTTCAGACAAGAAATCCAATACTTGTTCATATGAACTTCTTTGCTTAGAATCAATCAAACTGTCATCTCCTAGAATATTGTAGATTCCTCCTGAATCACCCTGTATATAAATAATATATTTGGATCATCATGAATGTTTTGTATGTAGATGTCCTGCTGTCAGCTGTGTGCACATGAAGTAAATGTACCTGTGTAACTCTATAGAAATCTGTGCAGCTTAGAGAAAATATTGCTTATGACTAGCAAAATTACATATGTGAAATAACATTTTATAAGTTAAAAATAACTGCCACATCATGATGTTTTGTAACAATGACATTTCATCTATAATACTAGACTTGTTGATACTATATAACCAAAACTGTTAAAAAAACCATTACATTTTTTATTCAAAAACAGTTTAGATGATTTCTTAATTAGAAGGAAATTAAATATATTTATACAACTGAAAAATATCGTTACTTTTGTTCACATACAGCTTTTTCTTTTACAAAATTACTTCATAATTAAAATTTATGAAAATTTTTCAATAAAAGAAATACATTTTAATAAAATAGTTATTTTTTACTTTCATGTCACATAAAAAAGTAACAGAATGTTTCAAATAAATTTATTTCAGAAGTACATAATGCTATAATAAAAATTTGAAATTTAAAATATTTTATTTCAGAATATGAAACTCAATTATCTGAATTTGACGGACCAAGGTATTTTGGATAAATGAAATTTCAGATAATCCAGAAATTTGTTTGTTTTCATATTTTGAGTATATCAAATGCTTTGCATTTAAAGTTTAATTAATTTACTCAAAATCTAACACAATGAAATTTATAAGACTTAGTTTTGTGTTGCTACAATCAACATGACAGTGATTTCCAGTTACATAGAGAGTTTGGTCTCTATTATACTCTGTGAATGCATGGATGTTACACATTCATGTGTAACATCCATGCATTCACAGAGTATAACAGAGTTACACATTCATGTGTAACTCTGTTATACATGAGCATTCACAGAGTATAACAGAGTTACACATTCATGTGTAACTCTATATATTTTTTTGTGTAACTATATATTTTTATATATGTGTAACTCTATACATATATTTTGTTTAGATGTTATGTGTAACATCTAAACAAAATAGTTTTAAAAAAATGGACGTTACACATTTATTTTTTAAACCATTTTGAATAATCAAATTTTCATTGTATATAATTTCTTTTTTCTTTTCCTTGCTTGTTTTATCATTTATATAAAAATTTTTTGGAAGTATTATTTTATATTTCTTTAGTACAATTAATCCTCAATTTAACAGAAAAATAGGTCAGAGTATGTGTTAAACCAATTATTTGTTACTTGAAAAATTACATTTAAAATCCACAAAATAGCCAACATGAATATCTACAATAAAAACACTGGGGTGAAGTCATCTATGTATATCATGACCCTTGCTTGGTTGATCCAGACATAGAGCTGGCTTTCAACCAGGTGAGGATGAACATCTAAGGTTGTTGGAGGCCATTTGTATCTACAGATCTAGTCTCAATGACACATGTATCAATCACAAGGAGAAACTATCCGTAGCGTGGCAAGTGCTAATGGACAAAGACCTGTAAATCTCGACAGATGCTACCAGCTGGAGTGCTCATGCCCAATAGGACGACTTCAAGAATCACATATTCAAATGAATTTTCAGATTGTCGTGTTCTTATTTAGTCGCATTCCATCAGAAATTTGCCATTTCACCTGAAAAACTTCTGGTTCGAAAACATTTCTGAAGTACTGTTTTTTTTGTTCTTTTCATTTTTATTTGAGTTTCACACCGGTAACAAGCTTTGGTATGTAGATAGCCAACATGAAAAAAAAAAACCCTTTTTCTTTTCGTTTCTTTGATAGAAAACATAAGTTATATTCCTAATGCATTATATGACCACAAACAAAAAGCACATACAAAATATGTAGTTATAAATTATAAATTTATTACAGACATTGTCTTTATTTTTTATTCTATATATTGTATTGCACTGTGTTTTATATTTGTTATATTGTAGTATAATACATTAAATAAGTTAATTATAAAATACAATATTATAAGTAATTTTCAAAATTTAAATGTGTTTGACATATAAAAGTAGAATCAAATAAAATTTGCAAAAATAATCTAGCATTTATTTAATAAATAAAACTAAAAATTATATATCTAATCTTCAATGCACACTTGCCAATAGGAATCCAAGACTGATTGGGTGACAAGAGGAACTTTTGACTGTCTGCTAAACTACCTAAGCATTGCAGTGTAAACAACTTCATCAGATTGCAATGACAACCATATAAAGAATCTTTGGATGACTCAATAAGATGATAATCCTTTGAGGCCAAGTTTGATAAGTAAGGATAAGGTAGATAGTTTTAGTTCATTATTCTTTGTAGCAAATTGACTCCCTAGATAAATCCAAGAATTGAAAATGTTAATAGAGCTGAAAAATATGAACTTTAAATCCATAAACTGAAAACACTAATACTATCAACATGATTATTCCTTAGATAGCTTGAATGCACGAATTTTCTTGGAATATTTAAATGGCATCAATCCACTGGCACCATTGTCTCTGGAACAAAATGGTTCAGCTTTCTATTAACATTAATAGGTTTTATATCTTCAGCATGCAATTTAACCTTTTGGTCAACAATAACCTATAGTCATCATCTTTGAATCCAGTCGATAAACTGTCATGTTATTGGAGGATGTTCAGAATTCATATTATACAATACTTTGATATTGTATTATAACACAAAGATATTCTTTACTAATTAGAAGAAATTTTGTTTATCAATATATTCATAAAACAAAGAAAATTTCTACAAATGCAAATAAACCACTGTAAAAAACAAGGAATGCTTACATTAATACTTCAGTTCTTTTTTTGTAGTGTTATCATTTTTGTCATATATTTCACTATCAGAAGACAACGTTTATAACATTATTATAACATTTATATAGTATAACCCTAATTATTCTAGGTAATATGGACTAACACCACCACAGCTAACTGAAAACTTGGATGAAATGGACAGCCATTTTAGGTTTAAAATCACAAATATAAAAGATTTATATGGTAGCATTTTTAAGCCTCTTTTTAAACCTTAGTGAATAATCATGTATAAGAACAAAAATTTTTACATTGGAATAAAAATGTGTATCACTGTAGTTATATTTTAATATAATTTATTTGAATCACAGTGAAGTTAAATGATAACATGTATTATAAAATTATTCATTTCTGTTACCTTTTATTGTTTTAAAGCTTCTTTTATGAATTACAGTATACAAAAAGTAATGTATTCATTTACAGGTTTGCCTCAGACAATATAGAACATCAGATAATCATGATTCTAATGTACTATAATTAATACAAACTACACAAACACTGCTTTTAATGTCAACAAAACAAAATAGGATCAAGATCTGCCTAACTGCTCTCTGTTTGTCATATTAAAATGGACTTTTTTCAGTTTTTATACTATACCACATTGATTTTCTCTGTTTTTAACCTTCTCATTGAAATTTTAAATTCACTTAATTATTGGACCATTCCAGTTTTCACCCACCACTCATGTTATAAATATTATGTCACTGTTTATCTATCAGATGGCGTAAGTATCTTGATATTTTAAAAATGTGACATTTATTGTTTTACCCTTTACCCGATCATATGTAATCAATCAATTCACAAATCTTTTCCAAAATTTTATAGGCTAATTTGTGAAAATAATCTGAAAATGAAATCTATACAAACTGAATCAAATATTTTTTGCAGCAATGTCATATCTTGACTTGTTTGTTAAAACTGCATTATTAT